AGCGTCCGCCTTGGCAGCCCCGCTCGCAGCCACTTTCCCGCCTCATTGGCTCCCAAATGTATTTTAAATATCACTGTGCGCAGAGACAATTACTGAAAACGCTGAGCTCACACTGCTGATGGGCCCGGGCGGCCAGGCTCATTCCTCACCCACCGCTGTGCCATGGCCCCCTGCCCCCTCCCCACCCAAGCCTGACCCCGGGCCTCCTGGGGGTTCAGCTCGTCATCTCCCCAACAAGTCTCTGACCTCAACCTCCATGCAACGGACCCTGGCCCTCCCTCCTTCTGAAGCCCCCAAGCCTCCTAGAGTAGCCTTCCGAAGCCCTGTCTCCAATCTCTGTGCCCCTCCCAGACCCCTTTATCAGCCAGGCCTCCATGGGCTCTGCACACTGCAAAGCCCCTCCCAGGAATCATGTCCCTCACCCCTGTCACCCTAAGTCAGCGGAGACCAGCTGGATGAAGGAAGCATCAGAGAGCAAAGGACAGATTCAGGGAGCGGGACATGTTCACCACCTGTGCACACAGCCAGGTCTGCCCCTCTTACCACCCACACTCCCCCATGTGACACTTAGCCCTGCTCCCCCCATGCAGAGGAGAAGCCAGTCTTGGGCCCTCAGAGCAAGTGGGGAGCCCATGGTCCCCCCAAAATGATCCGGTGTGAAAGGATGTGCCCCATCCCAACCGTGGCCTCCTCCCTCTGCTTGGCCCCCCAGAGCAGCCCCTCCTCAGCCAGGGGCACGGATATGGGGCCCAGGATACTAGGTGCCTCTATCCCTCACCCTGCACCCACATTTGAGATCCTTCAAAGTGCTCTAGGAGAGGGAGAGTGGGAAGGGACGCGCTTGACCATGGCGATCTTGCCCTTCCTTCTTTCTCAACCAAACCCTGAAGGATCCCTCGGGTCCCCTGGCGCTGGCCCGCCTCCCTATCACGCCCACCACAGTCCTGAGTGGCGGGTGGTGCGGGCAGGGATGGCTGTACAGGGCTGAGCTCTGAGGCTTGGATACAGAAGGACAGAGGAGGGGAGGCTCCCATGCACTGGCCGGCCCCACGCCCCCACATGTGGCCAGGGAGGGACTCACCATGCCAATGAATGCCATCTCTGTTTGCCGGTCCTGCTGAGTGCGTTTCCTCTGCAGGTAACCTTTCCACACCTGGGGGAGGGGGGAGGACACATGGGCCCGGACACTCCTCACACTGCATTTCTTCTGGGATGTGGCTCTCCGCTTAGCCCCAGAGAGGAGCAACAGCCACTCCCTGGAAGGTCTGGCTAGGGGACACTTGGGTGGGAGGTAGGGAAGGAGTTGGGGAGGCATCTGGGGGCTGGGGGCAGCTCATGGGCAACTGCCATCTGAGCAGGAACAGCCCGGAACAGGGTGGGGCAGGGATGTACCCAAGCCATCCAGCTCCAAGGCTGTGTTCCTCAGGGCCCCCCAGGAATTCTCTCTTCATCTCCACCCTTGAATCTGCTGTATCTTTTGAGGCACAGATCAGAGTTCAAGTATCACCACCTCCAAGAAACGCTTATCACTCTCATGTCTCAGAACACCCATAGCATTTGGGATAAATGCTCGATTCCATCCAGGCACACAAACATCAGTGCCGTGGGGACTATGGAGCTCCCCTAATTAACTCCTGCAGTTTTAACACAAGGAAACCGAGGCTGGAGATGGGACAAAAATCTCTCCTCTCCCAGGCCCAGAGCCTGTCACTGCAGAGCTGAGATGGGGCCAGGTTTCCTGACTCTTCGCCCAAGCCGCCAGCCACTCTCAGACCTGTGGGCAACCCAGGGCCAGCTGGTAGAGGGAGAGGCACTGGGCAGAGGGAGGCAGGGCAGGCGCCTGTCCTGGCCCCTGGGACGACCAGAGGAAAAGCCCACGATAAAAGCTTTTGATCAGTGTCGGTACCAGAGAACTTGAAGATGGCGATGCAGGATTTCCACACCCTTCATGTCTGGCAACAGGGACAAAGTGACTTGCTTTGGCTCCTGGGGGGAAGTGGGGCTCTTCCTGGGGCTGACCATCCTCTCAAAAGGCTTGCTTTATCGAGCCCTGCAGGCGAGGACCTCCTCCATGGGGCAGCCGGACATTGGGCCGGTCACCCAAATGCAGGGGCTCTGACTGGGACACTCTGCCTACCTGTCAATAAGCAACATCTATCCCATTTGGAAAAGAGAGCATCTGTTCTCAGGGGTGATGTTTGTTGGTTGGTTTGCTTTAGGTTTTTCATAGAAAGTGGTTCTAAGTTTCCTCTCTTTGGCCGGCAGACGGAAGTATTGGAAGCATTGGGACTTGAGGGAGGAAAGAAAAACCCAGCCCCGTGCCAGCCATTCTGGCCTGCTTCTGGAAAGAAAAGGGGGCAAGCAGCTTCCAGTGACAGAGCAGGGCCCCAGGAGTGGTGACAGCTACAGAAGCAAAGGGGCCCCTTTCTGCACTGAAATTTTCCCGGGGCCCCTCCTATGTCATCGAGCTGCTAGCCGCTACCACCCAGCCTCCTGGCCAATGACAGAGAGGCCAGGCCCACACGCTGCGGGGACAGCAGGGGCTAGGAGGTGTGGAATGGCCACCAGGACAGTAAGAAGGCACAGGGAAACCTAGGACGGGGCTGGTGTTCTGCAGGGAGCAGGATGGGGTGTGAGTGTGCTATTTCCATATTAAAGTAGAGGGTGACTCCCGACGGCACAGACCTCGAGGACACCTCGATCACATCAGTTCTCTTCATCATGTTTCCTTTTGCCTCAGCTGCCAGGAGGCTCAGGGTACATTTTAGTGACTTATTTTTAATGGTCTTAAGAGTTTCTCAAATGGTCATCTACTCTGTTCTGCTACCTTATTATGGATCATTCTCCCCTAATTTTATTTTATTTTACTTATTTACTTTTTTTTAAATGTGTCTTTATTGATTTCAGAGAAAGGAAAGGAGAGGGAGAGAGAGAAATAGAAACATCAATGATGGGAGAGTCATTGATTGAGCCCACAACCCGGGCATGTGCCCTGACCGGAATCGAACCCTGATCGCCTGGATCCTAGGTCGACGCTCAACCGCTGAGCCACGCCCGGCTGGGCTCTCCCCTAATTTTAATGATCCGTCTGTTTCTAGGACTTTCAGGGTATTCTACTTTAAGGCCTTTTAGAGATGTAGAATAAATAATAAACAAATAAGATACATGATTATTGACTTATAAAGGTCCTCAGTTTAGAATCTAGTAGTGTGGTCACAGAATCCAAGCACCTGCACCTCTGTTATTAACTGCTAAGCTAGGCAGGCTTCCTGGAGGAGAGGACTGCCTTGCCCTTCTTCCTGGATGCTGAGGGGTTACCTTCTGAATGGTCATAGCTGCTTGGTGCTGATTGAACTTGTGATACCCGCTGTCCCTCATCTTCTGATCCCGCTCCTCCTGCCTTCGAATCTCTCGAATGAAGGCGGCTCGGAGCCGGCCTTGCCTGGCCCGCTCAGCCATTTGCAGCAGGATTATGGCGTCGGTCCGGTTCATTGATGGAAATCTCTGGCCGGAGGAGAGGCAAAGGAACAGGAGATGAGAGAGGGCTTGCATCCAGGTGGGCAGCTGGGAAATCGGACACTGAAGGACATGCTGGGGGCATGATCCTCCCAGGGCATCTAGGTGCCCAAGCCCTGCCCTCTATATTGGTGTTGGAAGGTTACAAGGACACAAGAGCAGTCTTGAAGGAGGCCAGGGATTACCCAAAGAGTTCTCTCAAACGGGCTGAGCCGGCCAGGCGAGGCCGGCCCCGAGCTGCCTTCATTTGAGAGATTTGAAGACAAGAGGAGCCCGGGATGGGAAGATGAGGGCAGGGCCTCCCCGTGTCCTGGAGCGTGGCCTCTCCATTCCCTGAGCGGGGCTAGGAGAGGAGTGTGGGAGGGTGTCCCCTTGGCTTGCCTCCTGGAAGGACACTGGCTCCATTCTGGACAGGATTTCGGCCAGCATGTGCTCTCGCTCCTGCAGAATGTTGGACTGCTCCAGCAGGAAGTATTTGGGGATTGGAACCTCCAGGTCTGCCTTTGGGGCAATATGGGGGACAAAGGGTGAGGAATCAGAAGCCGGGCCATCAGGCCGATCCGTTCCTGTTTTCAGCTGCGTGCACAGACCCCGGCACTGTTTTCCTCCACGCCAGAGCCCTGGAGTGGGAATTTTACAGGTGACCGGCAGACCCACCAACAGTCACCCGCTTCTCCCCCGCCTTGACCATGTGGCCAGAGTTGAATTGTGGAGGGTCATGGTAGCTGACTGGCAATGGTCCCAAACCTGGTGGTATACCAGAATCAACTGGGAAGCTCTTAAAATGCAGACTCCCAGGCCCTCCCCAGACCACCGCATCAGGATTTCAGGGCCTGGAGAATCTGTTTGTTTCTTCAAGTCAACAGCTGAGTCTGATGCAGCTGGTGGGGGCAACTCTGAGACTGCCTTGGATGTGGAGCAGTGAACCATGACCTTGGGGACAGCTGGAGGCTGGTGCAGAGGCTCCGGCGCTTTGGAACCTGCTGGTGCCGTCAGGTCACCTGAGGGTCTTGTTAAAATGCAGGTACAGATTAGTAGGTTTGGGGTGCGGCCAAAGAGTCTGCATTTCTAACGAGCCCCTAGGTGCCGATGCTGCTGGTCCATGGACCACACTTTGAGGAGCAAGCCTCTAGAGGACTCTTCACCAGTCCCTTGCCATTCGTGGGTCTTTCCAGCCACGTTGGACTTCCAGTCCGACTCTCTAGCCACCCCCCAACTACTTGCATGCACCCCAACCCCCACCCCCACCCCAGTTCCTGAAACCCTTCTCCCGGGGACCAAACCCCATTCCCTGATGGATCTGCTTGCCCTCCACCCCTCCCCTGTAGACGTCCCAGGGGTGTCAGGAGGAGGCCAAGGCCAGCTCCAGCCCCACCCTCCATGGCGTGGGCGTGGCTCCACCCGGCCGCACCGAGGTGAGCTGGAGGTCCTGCAGCACGTGGTCCAGGCAGTGGCACTCGCTCAGGTCCAGGCGCACCATCTCCTCCTTGAGCTCCAGCACGCGGCCCGCCACGCTATCCAGCAGGCGCCTCAGCAGCCGCCGCTTCTGCGGCTGCACCATCTGGTCGTAGAGGATGTCGAACCTGCGCAGCAGCCCCAGGTAGTACAGGTAGAGCAACGAGATCCTGTACTGGAAGGACTGCCGCTCCTGGCTGGGCTGGGGTTCGAGCAGGGGCTGCTCTTGGTCCAGCAGCTCTTGCAGGGTCACGTGGGAGGAGTCCCAGAGGCGCTGGTAAGCCCTGGAGAGGAGGCAGCGCACGCTGGGGTGTTCCGAGCACCAGGGGCGTGGGAACGGGGTGTGCGCGTGCCGGGGCGCTGCTGAGCCTTTTGAGGGTCGTGAACTCGGGTTCCAGGTGTAATGTTAAGGTTACTGATGGCGCCAACCTGGAGCTCAGTGACGTGAGGGGTCCTCAGGGGAAGGGAAAGACAGCTACAGAGCACACCGGGGTTTAGACGTATGAAATTGGGGTGACTAGAGGAATGAAGAATGGCCATGGCCCCTAGGGGCGCCCTGTAAGGAAGAGGCCCTTTGGAATCGGCAGACAGCGGGTCCCTCCAGGGTGAGGGTGCAGCCCAGGGATGCTGCAGTCGTCTAGGACGGTGGGTGGGAAGTAGGGTGAGGGATGAGTGTAGAGCAGAGGTGGGGAACCTTTTTTCTGCCACGGGCTATTTGGATATTTATAACACCATTCACGGGCCATACAAAATGATCAACTTAAAAATTAGCTCTGAAACGTAGCAAAAGGAAGACAATCCAATTAAAAAATGGGCAAAGGACCTAAACAGACACTTATCCAAAGAGAACATGCAGATAGCTAAGAGACATATGAAAAATGCTCAACGTCACTAATCATCAGAGAGATGCAAATTAAAACCACAATGAGGTATCACTCCACACCTGTCAGAATGGCTCCATCAACAAATCAATGAACAACAAGTGCTGGCGAGGGTGCGGAGAAAGGGGAGCCTAGTGCACTGCTGGTGGGAATGCAGACAGGGGCAGCCACTATGGAAAACAGTGTGGAGTTTCCTCAAAAGACTAAAAATTGACCTGCCATTTGACCCAGTGATCCCACTTCTAGGAATATATCTTAAGGAACCCGAAACACCAATCACAAAGAACTTATGCACTCCTGTGTTTGTAGCAGCACAGTTTACAATAGCTAAGATCTGGAAACAGCCCAAGTGCCCATCGGTAGATGAGTGGATAAAAAAGCTGTGGGACATTCACACTGTGGAATACTATGCAGCTGTAAAAAAGAAGGATCTTTTATCCTTTGGCACAGCATGGAGGGAACTAGAAAGTATTATGCTAAGTGAAATAAGCCAGTCAGAGAAAGACAAGTGTCATATGATCTCACTTATATGTGGAATATAATAAAATAAACTGATGAACAAAATGGATCCAGAGACATAGAAGCATGGACCAGACTGAGGGATCTCAGAGGGAAGGTGGGGAGGGGGGAGTGGGTGGGGAGAGATTGATCAAAGAACTTATATGTTTATAAGCATAACCCATGGACACAGACATTGGTATGGGGAAAGCCTGGGGGTGGAATGGATGTGGGGTGGAGGGGATCAATGGGGATAAAAAGGGGACATCTGTAATATTTTCAACAATAAAGATAAAGGAACTTAAATAAATAAATAAAAATTAGCTATGAAAAAAGCTCCTAGATTTATTAAATTTTGAGTCCCACCTGTGGTTGCCTTGGCAGGGCCAGACCAAATCATTTTGAGGGCCGTATAGGACCATGGGCTGGACATTCCCCACCCCTGGTGTAGAGCATGGTCCCTTCCCCCGAGCAGAGCCCTGGTTCTGGATGTAATAGCCCAAGGGAAGTCTGAAGGGCAAAAGCTGACCACAGGCTCGAGCAACAGGGGTTGCTGTGTGAAAGTCTGGGGTCCTGGCCCAGCATGGACCCCGCCTCTCCACCAGTCCTTCTCTCCACCCATCGGCCCCAGCCTGACGGGATCTTGAACAGGAGGCAGCTTGCTCTTTGCTCTCCCAGCCCTGGGAGCACCATTCCAGCCCCAACTTACCCCTCAGACATGGTGCCCACTCCTCACGCTGCCCTTGGTGAGCTGGTCGAGGAATCCACAGAACCTCTGTGGTTCCACTCTGACTGCACCCCAAGAACAGCCCAGTTTTAAGGGTTCTGTCCCATTGTCTCAATGTTCTAAGGCTGTGAGGGGGAGGGGCTGGGGGGGCACAANGAACCTCTGTGGTTCCACTCTGACTGCACCCCAAGAACAGCCCAGTTTTAAGGGTTCTGTCCCATTGTCTCAATGTTCTAAGGCTGTGAGGGGAGGGGCTGGGGGTGCACGGTTGGGGACACATCTCAGAGGACGTTCTGGAGGCAGCACCCTGAAGGGAAGGCAGGCTCCCTGGTAGCAAGCCCTGGAAAGTTAGGGCAGAATGTGGGCTCAGCTGTGGCTCCTTTTCTTGTGAGGGTCAAATAAAATAATTGTCCCTATTTGAAGTCACCTTGTCACTGCGAGGCTCTGCTGAATATTAGTCCTGAAAGTCTTACTCCAACTGCATGTCCCAGCTGGAGGAGCCCTACATTCCTTAATGCAGACCCAGCCTCATTTACTCTGCTGTGTGACTGTCCTGGAGGCTCAGGGGACCCATTCTTTGGAAAATACAAAAGTATTTTCTCCTGACTCTGGTCAGCTGGTGGTGACCTTTTTGGCTCAGTGTTAAGTAGGGACTTACAATGAAATACATGCCTAAGTCACAGGGCAAAGGAAGGGGGAGAAGGGAGGCTATAGCAAGGAGGAGCCTCAGATGAGTTCTCAGGCATTAGCGTGCGTGCGAGTTACCCAAGGACATTGTCAAAATGCAGGTTCCACCCTGGCTGGTGTGGCTCAGTGGTTAGAGGGTCGGCCCATGCACCAAAGAGTTGTGGATTCAATTCCCAGTCAAGAGCACGTACCTGGGTTGCAGGTTCGATCCCTAGCCCCAGTTGGGGCGTGTGCAGTTGGAGGCAACCAGTCAATGTGTCTCTCTCACATGGATGGATGTTTCTCTCTCTCTCTCTGCCCCCCCCCATCCCTTCCACTCTCTCTAAAAATCAATGGGGGAAAAGTATCCTTGGGTAACAAAAAAGATGCAGGTTCGGATTCCACAGTCTGAGGGGGGCCTGAGATTCTGCATTCCTAACAAGCTCCCAGCCATGCAGACACTGCTGGACTCTGCAGGGCACCTTGAGTACCAAGGTGAGAGTCAGGAGGAGCTGAGGCTCAGGGCCCAGGGCTGGGCCTGCCCCCTGCTAGCTGCAGGACCCAGGTGTGGATGGTTCATCTCGGCACCTCCATGTGAGGCCCTGTGTACGAGCAAATTCGTGTGAAGGACGCATCCCAGTGGCAGCCACAATCACAGGGAGCCTTCTCAGCACATGCAGTTGAAGGCGACAGTCTATCTCTATGCTCACAAAGAGAACATAGGAGATTTTGACTTAGTCACTGACTCCCACCCTANGCATGTGAGGCCCTGTGTACGAGCAAATTCGTGTGAAGGACACATCCCAGTGGCAGCCACAATCACAGGGAGCCTTCTCAGCACACGCAGTTGAAGGCGACAGTCTATCTCTATGCTCACAAAGAGAACATAGGAGATTTTGACTTAGTCGCTGACTCCCACCCCTCCACCCCATCCCTCGGCGCTTGGGAGAGTATTTATGGGCCACATGCCCACAAGCTGGAGCAGCGGCTGAATGGGAGAGAAAAAGCGCATGGAGTCAGCCCAGCCAGTGTGGCTCAGGGGTTGAGTGTCTACCCATGAGCCTGGAGGTCACGGTTCGATTCCCAGTCGGGGCACATGCTTGGGTTTCAGACTCCACCCCTAGTAGGGGGCGTGCAGGAGGCAGCCGATCAATGACTCTCTCTCATCATGGATGTTTCTATCTCTCCCTATCCCTTCCTCTCTCTGAAATCAATAAAAACATATTATAAAAAAAAAGAAAAAAAAAGCACATGGGTCAGAGGTTAAGTGGTGAACCTGGGTGAGGGACATACAAGTGGCCATTGTACTTTCTTGCAATTTTTTCCTGTGGGTTTGAGATTTTGTGAAATACAACTGGGGAAGAAAAGTTAGGAGCCTCAACAGCCTTCCCACCCATTTGCTCTGAAATGAGGGGGAAGAAAGTATTAGGGGAAAACAAAAGCCTCTTACAGACCCCAGAAGGCTGTTTGGAAACTAGTGCGGGCCTTCCGTTTTATATTTTGAAGTGTGTAGACCCCTGTGCCTAGCGCAGGACAAAAGTGATAATTTGCCAGAAACGGCATCACAAAACATGGTCTGAAGGAGTAACAGGAGGAATTTCAGGCCCAGAGAGGGCGTGATGGAAACAGCTGGCAGCAGGCAGCGGATCCGAATCCAGCCCCAGGTCCTGTCAGCTCACTACCTATTAGAACATTTATCACATGTGCTCATGGGGCACACCCAGAAAGCAGTTTTCAAAAAAAGTATGAGTAAGGGTTATTATTCCATCTCGGTGGCCATAAAAAGTGACAATACCTGCCCTGGCTGGTGGCATCATCAGCTGAATGTCGTTCTGTGCACTGAGAGGTTGCCGGTTGATTTCCCGCTCAGGGCACATGCCCAGGTTTTGGGCAACCGATCAATATTTCTCTCTCTCTAAAATCAATCAAAACATATTAAAAAAAAAAAAAAAGAGGGGTGAAAAAAATGATAATACCCTTGTCCCAAATCAGACCTCACCTTCACATGTCCATTTTTTAAATCACCACAGTACACAGAAGCAGTTCACCCTTTATCACCCTTTATGTAGCTTAGGACCCGGGTCACTTGGAGCTGGTGTACTTGGTGACAGCCTTGGTGCCCTCGGACACAGCATGCTTGGCCAGCTCCCCAGGCAGTAGCAGGCGCACGGCCGTCTGGACTTCCCGGGACGTCAGTGTGGTTCGGCCTGAGTATTGGGCCAGCCGGGCGGCCTCGCCGGCCAGCCGCTCAAACACGTCGTTCACAAATGAGTTCATGATGCTCATGGCCTTGGAAGAGATGCCGATGTCAGGGTGCACCTGCAGAGACGGTAGGACCGCTTTTAACAAGGAGTCTCTGCCTGACACCCCAGCCCCAGGTTGGGGACGCGGGACTGTAAGGCCACCTCACCAGCCTCTTCCCAGAGGCCAAGAGACATGGAAATAGAGGTTTGTTTTTATATCACTGTATCCAAGTTAAAAAGAAACCTTCTCCCAGCCGCAAGAGCTAACGCTATCCAGTTCTGTATGAGCACGTCAGCATCTATCTTTGACCAATTGGAATCGGTTACACAGCATTTTGTTTTTTCCATTGAATGCATTTACATAGTTCTGTTTTGTTTTTTGCATAGTGTTTCATAGTGTGGAGGAATCATAACTTATATCTCTATTCCTCTCTTAATGGGCACTTAAGGGGGGTTATTTTCTTGCTATTAGATTGTGTTATAGTAAATATGCATCTTTGGACGCTGTACAAGCCTGAGGAAGGTTATTCCTAGAGGTGGGACAGCCAGGTCAAAGGGTGTGTACGCTTAACTTGGTAGATTGTTCCCAAATTGCCTGCCAGAGAGCACACCTCTACGACCCGATCTCAGGACCAGATGAGAGGCGTTAGGAGGCCCGGGTTCTGCGGCTGGACTGGGGCCCACTCTACCACAGCACCTGGAATAAGGCTCCTTCCTCAGCCTCAGTTTCCTCTCCTGTCACACAAGATTTTGCACTAGGTGATCCCTAGTAAGACAAATGGTGGGGACCTGATACGATCCTAAACTGTGAGCAGGCAGACACTGTTTCTCTGTAAAGTGGGGGTGACTCCCCAATGACATACATCGAGCCGACGCTGGAAACAGAACCAGATGCCTCTGGTCACCACTNACACTGTTTCTCTGTAAAGTGGGGGTGACTCCCCAATGACATACATCGAGCCGACGCTGGAAACAGAATCAGACGCCTCTGGTCACCACCGGCAACAGGAAACCCTCAACCCCCAGTGTCATCATCCCATCCCATTCCCCTCAGAAGGGCTTTGCAGGGTGCGGGTACCTGGCTCAGCAGCTCTCGGCAGGGCCATCCCTGGCCCAGTCCTTCCCTCACAGGTTTCAAGCCTGTTAGGCTAAGCTGGAGGGCTCGCTAATATCCGCCTCCCAGCCTCCCCCCGAAACCCACACTTTGTTCAGGACACTGGAGTCTGTCCTCTGGTGCTGCCCTTTGGGGGACCCAGCTTGTCAGGCCACTAAAAGTGCTAACGGCATTCAGACTGGGGACAGGCTCCACCCCTGGGTAAGAACCTCAGGCCGACTGGAGAGGCCTGGGCAGGCCGCAGAACCGTCCCACCTCCTCCCGGCCCTAGCTCTGCCCAGCAGGCAGCGGCTTAAAGGCCAGGCTGCCTGGGGTCCTCCGGACACACTGGTTGTTGGGTACCCATTGGTGCCCCCAGCGTGCCAGCCCCAGGAGTAGGTGCTTCGCAGAGGGGCGCTGGTGGGCTGTCTGAGCAGAGAGGACACCTGTGGGTCGGGGCGGGACCAGCAGGGAGCACTCAAGGGGCTTGGCTAGAGCTGCCGATGCCCGTGACTCAGTCAACCCACTGAGCCTGTGAGGACCTCAGGTCCCCCTCTGTCAGGCACACCAACCCCTTAGGCCCTCAAAGACTGAGTGCCACTCGCCTGGAAGGCCTTCCCAAGACTTGAGTCCACCTGAAGTGCTCCTTGCTTGAGCTGGCACTAACTGGAACTTCCTGTTGGCACCGTAACGGGTCTGGCGCCCGAGCCGTCACCTCCAGCCCAGACTTTCTCGTGGTCTGCCCTTTTAATTGTGGGCCACCTAACATTCCCCGTAATCGTCTTGTCTGTCCCAAAGCCCTGTAAGCTTCCGGCTGTGGTGGGGAGCGTGCCTTAAATGGCCCCTGCACCTTACGGGCGCACGACAGATACTAGGAGGGGCTGGCACCTCCGAGACTAAGTTCAGCCGCCTCTAGAGGGGCCGGGTGTGCGTGAGGCCACTCACCGCAGGGCCGGACGCAACCGAGTCCCGAGTCTGCCCAGCGCCCTTCCAAGGCTCTTGGCCAGTACATTCTACACACGCGCACACACACAGAGCTAGCTCCCGGCTCTCACCTGCTTCAGCACCTTGTAGATGTACATCGAGTAGGTTTCTTTGCGCCGGTTGTGCTTTCTGGACTTCTTTTTCCCAGAACTGCGGCCCTTCCGGCCCCTGGACTGCCGCGGCGGCCCATGCTCCGTGCTCATTCTGGGTACAGCCGCCTCCCGCTCCTCGGGGCTACTTTTTATGAAGTTAGCAGCAGCCGGCCAGGTGGGGCTGGGGGCCAGCACCTGAGACGAAGGGGAGGGGCTGGGCCCAACCCCATCCAGAACACGCTCTAGGTTAATCTTTTTTTGTTGTTGTTAATCCCCACCTGAGGATATTTTTTCCATTGATTTTTTTAGCGGGGGGGGGACACAGAGAGAGACATCAATGTGAGAGAGACACATCGATTGGTTGCCTCCCGCAGACGCCCTGTTACCAGGGCCCGGGATCCAACCTGCAGCCCAGGCACAAGCCCTTGACCAGAACCTGAGACCTTCAGCCCGCAGGCCCGCGTTCTAACCACTGGGACGAGTCGGCTAGGCTGGATTAATCTTGAAAGAGACAATTGCTCTCCTCTCCCCCAAGTGATTTCCTGTCCTGTCTCCAGCCGCTCATCCCCCACCGGCCCACTCCTCTTAGAGTTCACACACCACCAAACGGCCGGCACCCACTGGGCTCGCCACCGGGCAGCGCTGGGGAGAGTCGGAAGGGACACAGGCCCGCTCCCCACAGAGCCCCATGATGCAGGGGAGGCCGCAGGACTGGTGCACAGGGACAAATCGAGCACGAGTGGGAGGGCTCGAGTGCGTGGCGGGGACAGAGTTCAGAAAACACAGCTCAGGCTGCAGTAGCCAGAGGAGGAACAAACGGGGACTTGCAGCTGGTCTTGTAGGGTGAGTACAATTCAGCCGGGGAGAAGGCAGGGGAACGTAATTGGGAAGAATGGGAGAAAGAAACGGTGGAAAACATGTGAGAAGGGGAGTGGAATTAATGTGCGCGGGGCGCAGTGAGGCCAGACGGGGCGTCGGATGCAGCGGGAGCCACAGCTGGGAGGGGCCGCCCGGGGAGCAGGGAGAGCTGCTTCCCTAAGCACATGGCGCGGGGCTCGCGTGGAAGTCGGCTGCCCACGGAAGTGCAGGGGGGGGGGGCTTTTAAATGGGGAGCTGCTTCTCACTTTCAATGCTGTGATTAAAGGAACCTGAGGCCACAGGAGAAGCTCAGGCTGGGGAAAAGATTTTCCAAATCAGGAAGAGGTGGGAGGACAGCGAAGACAAGCATCACCTGTCTGTGGGTAAAACAAGCCTGAGCAAGTATCCCCGCGCCAGGCTCACCCCTCACTCAGGTCCAGCTCCCAGCTCCATCTTACATGCTGAGGTTTGAGAGGACCAGGTGGCTAATTTTTTTTTAAGAGATATATACATATATATATATATTTTTAACTGTTTTTGATTAGGGAGAGGGAGATAGAAACATCAGTGATGAGAGTCATTGACCGGCTGCCTCCTGCACGCCCCCTGCTGGGGACGGAGCCAGAAACCCAGGCATGTGCCCTGACTGGGAATCGAACCCTGACCTCCTGGTTCATAGGTAGGTGCTCAGCCAGAGCCACAAGGCCAATTTTTTTTTTTAATTGTATTTTTAAAAAATACATCTTTATTGATTTCAGAGAGAGGGAGAGGGAGAGAGAAACATCAGTGATGAGAGAGTCATTGATTGGGGCCGCCTCCTGCACGTCCCCGACTGGGGATCGAGCCTGCAACCTGGACATGTGCCCTGACTGGACCTCGAAACCCCAATCACCTGGATCCTAGGTCGATGCTCAACCCCTGAGCCACGCCCGGCCGGGCTACATTCCATTCTTAATACGGCATATGGGTTTATGTCCTTTGTCCCCCCAAGGCCAATTCTTAACCCACAATAAGGCACTGCTCATCTTAGGCATGTGCAGAAATACCTATTTTATGGGCTTTTAAAGCATTCATAGTATTTTTGAGACGGGCTTTTCTTTTGGTCAAGCCGACTTTCTTCCAGTTCTGAAGGCCTCCTGTCCCCTTGCAGCTCAACTACACAGGGACCCGACGACTTTGAGGGGAGCTCAACATAGCCCAGCCATCCTCGCCTGAGGTAGCAGCAGCTCCCAGCCACACAGCTCTCAATACCATTCTCCCTTGAACCAAGTCTCTGGAGACTCTGAACACAATGACAGGCCACTTGGCTCCAGGCCTCACTTAGGGCACAAAGCAGCAAAGTCAGTCCCCCTGGGGCTGGCATGCGGAGCACGAGTCCTAGCCCCTCCTCTGGCCTCGGCACCTTGGGTTCAGCTGCACCTTCTTGCCTGATACTCACTGTCCCTCTGCCCAGGGCCACTCTAGGCCTTCACGGCCACCTGAGATGACCCTTCTCATCTTTCAAGTTAGAGCACCAAGCCCTGCCCACCTTCCTGGAAAATTCCCCTCCCTTCTAAACTGTGTGTGTCCTACTACCTAAGTCACAAGTTAGCACCTGACCTACGCCACCTTGCTCTCCTGTGTTGCAGGGTTTCTCATTAGATCATGAGCTCCTCAGCAGGGGGTTAGATGACATCCGGGACTTTTCTTTTAGCCTTAGATGTACTATAATGAGCACTGAAAAATCGTGGCTGTGTGTTTTCCCACAGACATAGCTGCCAAGGTTTCAGAGGTGAAGTGAGGAATCCAGGTCATGAGGACGACCACTGGTGGCACTAAGGTGAGTGCTATTCAGGTTCAGACAGGCTACGCAGAGCCTTGAGTTGGCAGTAAGCTAGGTGATGCAAAAAAAAATTAAGGCTGTGGACAGGTAAAATAGAAAAACTTCCTGTATACGGCCAGAAACAGTGGTTTGAAAATTTTGGTGTGAAAAAGCAAGCTCCTGACCATTTCTGCACCTCTCCCATCCCACCAGGTCTGGAGCCTAGGAAGCTGCATTTTCAGCAAGCATCCCAAGTGTGCGATACAGGCCCCACGTGGCAGGAGAGCCTCAGACCACTGAGAAACATGCTCCAGGAGGCTATTTCTCAGTGTGGTCCCCTGGCCAGCAGCAGCAGCAGCATCACCTGGGAACCTGTTAGAAATGCTGCTTCTTGGTCTTACCCCTGACCTACAGAACCAAAAGCTCTGAGCAACCTGGGAGCTAATGCATCCTCCAGGTAATTCTGACATGTTAAAGTTTGTGAACCACTCGCCTAAGTAAAGGCACATTTTCAAATCAGCAAAAGGGACTGAGAGTTCTTCTGGATCCTATGGAGTAGTCTTCAGACCACATCCATCCCACCCACATCCACTCCAGCTCTTGCTGAGGGGAAACAAATGTTGGCAGTGCAGGGAGGAGGGGAGCAAAGGGCCCAGAGACCTGAGAAGGAAAGCAGGGGCCATGGCTTCTTCTTTCTTTATTGGACGCTTTGTAGATGTCACGCAGGTCTAAAAGTTACACTGTTAAATAATTATTTAAAAACCGATCAGGACTAAAGCCCTGATCCAGAGCTCCAAACCAGAAGCAGAAAGGAATAGGGGCGGTGGGCTGGGGGGTATTCCTCCAACATCACCGAAACCCAGAAAACCAGGATCCTAAGCTCCTTCACAAGCCAACCAGGGTGTGGGCCCTTGGGCTAACCATCAGGTACCTCTGGCTGCATCACTCAGGGCTAGCAGGAACAGCCAGAGGAGTCCAGACATGGACAAAAATAATTGGAAGGACAGGATACGGACAGGTACTGTCCAGCTGTAGCTAGGATCACAGAGTGCAGCTAAGGCAGGTGGGGCAGGGGAGGAGCTGGGGAGCGGTACTGCAGCAATGCAGGGTGTGGCCCCAGGGGCTCACACATTATGGGTCCTCCTGGTCAGCTGGGGCTCCTCGCCCACCAGCTTGGACTTGAGGTGCTCCTTGTAAGCCAGGATGTCTCCAGGCCACTTGGTGATTGTCTGCTTCTCACAGACCCAGATTTCTTGCGCTACCTAGAAAGCAAATCCTAGACTTAATAATCCTGGCCAGCACTCTCCCCATCCCTGCCCAGGAGACTGTTCTTGGGGAATTCCAGAAAGAAGACTCCACAGCCTCCCCAAGACCCTTCACCAGCCTCATGTCCAGCACAGGGTAGGTTTCGCTGCCTTATGATGTTTGGAATGGCTTAACCCAAGGGTACTGTGACTAACAGGTTTGGAGCCTCCCCACCTGGGACCCGCTGTCCTCCCGATTTCCAGTTCCCTAGCAGGGCCTAGATCTGTTCGGAGGCTTCACTCTTAGCTCCACCCCACCTTCCCCCAGGCTTCAGAGAAATGACCAGCAGCTTTTCCACCAAAGACTGGTGGTAGCCCTCTGTCTAATCAAAATCCTCCTTAGTATACTACTTCTAGCCTGAAGAATCTTGGGACAGTGGAAAAGCACCCTGTTCTCTATTCACCTCCCTCCTGGATTCTGGCCAACAGTATCAAGTAGGCTAAGATCCCCAAATAACTACTGAATAAATGAAGTGTTTCCGTTAGGGCTTTCTAAGTTTCCCAAAGAGCCGTAAGATCTGGTCCAAACCACCCCGTCTATGCCCCAAGCCCTTTTCCCAAATCCAATAAAAAACTGCGTTAAGTGCCCCCTACATGTCATGACTGTCTTCCACCCAACCTTCCCCTATATGCCCCCTGCTAGGGCTCGCACCCGAGCCAGGAGCCTCACCTGCTGGATGAGTCTGAAATCGTGGCTGACCAGCATCATACCACCCTCGAACTCATTGATGGCATCAGCCAGGGCATCGATGGTCTCAATGTCCAGGTGATTGGTGGGCTCATCCAAGAAGAGCATGTGGGGGTTCTGCCAGGCCAGCCAGGCCAGACACACTCGGCACTTCTGCCCATCAGACAGGTTCCGGATCGGGCTCACCTGAGCAGAACCGTGACATTTATGTAAGTCGGTGTTACCCCCACCAAACAGCACAACTTCTCTTTTCCCTCTCCCCCTCCATTAATATTATTGCCATTTTATAAAAACAGGGGTCAGGAAGACCCAAGATCAGGCAGCGACACAGTCATCAGTCTCTCCGGTGTGAAAGGAAGGGATCTGGAAGCCGGAAGCTCCTGCCGTTACCAAGGCATGCCTCTCACATGCTCTCAGCACTTAAATCTTAATGATTCAGCCCTGGCTGGGTGGCTCCGTTGGTTGGAATGTCGTCCTGTACACCAAAAGGTGGCAGGTTCGATTCCCAGTCAGGAGGCAGCTGCGTGTGGGAGGCAGCTGATCGATGTTTCTCTCTCACATAATTGTTTCTCTCCTTTCCTCTCTATAAACAAGAGAATGAATGAATCTTAATGATTCTGAGCAATCCAGTGCACCCTCAGTCCAGACCTAAATCCAGGAACTTGTTTTCTAGGTTTAGTTTCCCTTGCCCTCAAGCACAAAGGCTCTCCTGCTAGTCAGGGAGCAAGGGCATGGCAGAGACTGGCATCTGTCCCTGCCCCTCCTTCATAGAGAGACCTAAATGCTCTACTACAGTGATGTTCAACAGGTGTGCCACAAAATTTTTCAAACATGCAATACCTGACTACATTTAGTCAAAGGCAAAGGCACTGACCTGTTGCCTTTGACTGCCAAGTAAAAAAATGACAACAGCCAACACAACAACAACCATCCAGTGTGAATGAATCAAAATACCTTTTTTTTGTCAGAGTAGCAAAAAATATATTTTTTGGTTGCCGCAGAATTTTAGTAATTAGTTTGTGCACTGTGCAATGAAAAA